GCAGTTGAAATGAACACAACATTGTAAATCAACTATACTCCAAGAAAATTTAGATTACAAAATAAAGAAAATCGCCTATATTTCAAAAGATAAAAAGAATTCCCACATATTTTTATGGCTTGATAGCTTACTTTTTTAGTGCTCAATATTATCCCATTCCCAGAATTATTAATACTATATCATTTCATTCACCTATTGGAGGACACCTTAGTTTCATTCACATTTTGGCAATATTGAATTAGGTGCTATAAATATCCATATGCAGGTTTTCGTCTGGAAGTATGTTTTAAACTACTTTCAGTAAATATACATGAGAACACTTGCCGGATTATACAGTAAGGGAATGTTCAATATTATAGCAAGTGTCAATCAGACTACCAAAGTAGCTGTATTATTTTTCATTTCCACCAATAACACATGACATTTCCTATTGTTCCACATCCCTTACAGAATTTGTTCTTGTCACTGTTCACATTTTAGCCATTCTAATGGCTAAACTCGTATGCAATTGTATTGTTAATTTGCTTTTTGATGGCAGCATGTAATCTGAATTATTCTTCTGTATACTTATATGCATAGTGTCTATTTTCTTTGGTGAGGTGTCCGTAAAGTATATTGGTCCACATTTTATTTAGGCTGCTTTCATTTTTTTCTACCCAATCTGTATTTGTTTTATTTATTTTCATGCCTTATTGCATTAGCAAGGACGTGGAGTAAAATATGGAAAAGGAGTCATGAAAGGGAACATCCTTGCTTTTACCTGAACTTAGTGGAAAAGCTTCATGTTTTTGATCATTAATCATGATGTAAGATAAAAGTTTCCTGTAGATCTTTGTTATCAACTTGAGAAAGCTCCAGTCTATTTCTTTAACTGAGAGTTTTTATGAAGAATGGGTGTTAGATTTTTTCAAAGGTCTTCTGAATCTATTGATATGCTAATGATTGACTTTAGAGTGTTTATATGATGGATATAATTATTTGATTTTAGAATGTTGAACCAGCCTTGCATACCTGGGATTATTCCCTCTCATTCATGATATAAAATTCTCTCAAAATATTGTTGGATTCGATTTGTTAATATTTTGTTGAGGATTTCTGCATTGATGTTCCTGAGAGATATTGGTCCGTTTTCTTTACTACTCATATGTTCCTCTAAGTTTGGATGTTGTGGATTTAGTATCAGACATTCATTTGGGGGAGATTCTCAGTCATTTTTAAAAAATATTTTCTGTTCTTTGTTATCTTTATTCTCCTCCTGCCATACCATTATGTATAGGTCACAGCATTTTCATTGTTCCACAATTATTGATTACTCTGTTCTGTTGATTTCTTTCCTGCCCATTTTCTCTTTTCTTTTGAGATTTAAAGGTTTCTCTTGATATGCCTTCAAGCTCACAGATGTTTCTCCTCAGCCAGCTCTTTGACTGCTAAAACGAAATACGGGAGACTTGGTATTTTATAAACAACAGAATATTTTTGTTTTCTCGTAATTGCTGAGGCTGAAAAGTTCAAGAACAAGTTACCAGGGGCGTCGCTGGTGGCGCAGTGGTTAAGAATCTGCCTACCAATAAAGTGGACACAGGTTCGAGCCCTGGTCCTGGAATATCCCACATGCCATGGAACAACTAAGCCCGTGCACCACAAATACTGAGCCTGTACTCTAGAGACCACAGGCCACAACTACTGAGCTCGTGTGCCACAACTACTGAAACCCGCACGCCTAGAGCCCATGTTCTGCAACAAGAGAAGCCACCCAATGAGAAGCCCGCACACAGCAACAAAGACCCAACACAGCCAAAAAATTAATTAATTAATTAATTTTAAAAAAAGAACAAGTTGCCAGCTGACTTAGTGTCTGGTGAGGGACCAATATCTGGTTCATAACGTGGGTCTTCTCGCTCAGCAATGAAATCATGTGATGGGCATGAGATCTTCTGTGTGCTACATTTATTAGGTCACTAATCCCATGTTTGAGGTGTCTGGCCTCATGACCTAATCACCTCCCAAAAGCCCCACCTGCTAATACCATCAACATGGGAGCTGGGTTTCAAAATTTTAAAATTAGAGGTACAAAATGTTTACACCATAACAGGGACCACAGAGTTAACTGATTTTTCCTTTCATGTTAAAGGTTTGCACATTTATATTTATTATATACTCCCAAAACCCTTGTTGTTTTTTTTAAGATTCTTTTCCCGTATATGCCAGTACACACCATTGAGTAGAGTTACCTGTGCTATAAAGCAGGTCCTTATCAATACTTATCTATTTTATATATACTAGTGTGTATAGGTCAGTCCCAATCTCCCAATTTATCCCTTCCCTACTTATCCCCTGGTAACCATAAGTTTGTTTTCTATATCCATAACTCTATTTCTGTTGTGTAAATTAGTTCATTTGTACCTTTTTTTTCTTTTTTAGATTCCTCATATAAGCAATATCAAATGATATCTGTCTTTCTGTGTCTGACTTGCTTCACTCAGTATAACAATCTCTAGGTCCATCCATGTTGCTACAAAACCCTTAATTGTTAAGGATAACTCTCAATTTTTTCCAGTATCATCAGCAATTCTTTCTGGCAGACATTTGATAACACTTTTTAAACAGGGATATTGAGACCAAGGCTCCTGACCTGCAAACAAACAAAACATCATTTATATAGTGAAAACTTTGCACGTCAAAGGATGAAAGCACTTGGTCTAAATCCCTTTGCACCCACTGCTGACAGAGGGCAGAGGAGTTTGACTCACTAATCTTCCTTACGTGCACTTCTTCCTAATGGGGTATTCCATCTAAAACTTATAAGAAGCGGGAATGCATCATGGAACACACCAATCTCTACTACAGATTCTGAAGCAGAAAAAAAACAAAAACATGATGAATCCATCCAAAGGGTTCTGTCCACATTGTTACAATAGTTTCCCTGGCACTGTGAACCCTTTTCAAATCCTATCACTTGAACCTACTTTCATTTTTTTTCAGCAAAAATAATGCTAATCTGCAGTCACACACTCCAGTAATATTACACTATCCCTTGTGCAAGGATGTAGGGATTCGAGGAGCTATGGGAGGCTATCATGAGAGGTTGCCTAGAGTAATTAGGACATTTCATTTAATGTTGGCTCTACTCCCTAAGATGTCTGCTGTCCTCTTCTTTTTGTAGCTACTAGCATTGAGAAAGTGAGCAAGATAAGGCCCTTCTCTTTTACTGCCCATGAATGTAGCTGTGATTAACCCCACAGACCTTGGTGCTTCCAGAATCCCCTGAACCTACTGACCCTCCATGCATGGCATGACATAGATAAGGATGGTGATGTGTATACTTGTATAGAACATGCTATAAAATTTTTGACTCTTCCCTTCCTCATAATTCCAAAGAATAGATTTCTTTGGATTTCTGCTTAATGCTACTGGAGTTGGTACATAAGTTGAGGGAGGTATCAGGGCACACCAAAAGAGAAGGTATCTGCACAGAAAATACAAGCAGGTACATTTCTGTGTAGTTTCAGCAGCTCATTTCCTATATCAACCATGGTGACAGGTTGAGCCTTCCTCTTTCTACTAGTAGTACAGCAAACATAAAGGATATTTAGGCTGCTTGTTTTATCCCCACCTCTCTCAATTGATCTGCATTCACATATAGGACAATGAAGGGTCCTTTCTACCATCTTAACCAATACTTGAGAACCAGAAAATGTCCAGATTTTTCCAGGGATTATTTTCATATTCCCCAATCAGGCATATGAAGGGATCTTACCTATTGTGTTTGATGAAGTCATATCTCTGATGGCATCCCACCATCAACAAAACTGGACAGAAATTTGAAGGGTCTTAGATTTACCATATTTGAAATTCCAATATTTTAGCCTGACACGTTTTTGGATTTTAGAAAAAAATATTTTAAATGAGACAAAAAATCATTTTTATGACACAAAAAGACAGCAATAGTTTTATATTTTTATCTGTTCCACTTGCACACAAAAGTCTCATGGGGTTATGTAAGGCAGTCCTTTTGGGTGCTGTGCTTGGTGCAAATATGGATTAAAGCTTAGGAATCTTGGGCTTCCCTGGTGGCGCAGTGGTTGATGCAGGGGACACGGGTTCGTGCCCCGGTCTGGGAAGATCCCACATGCCGCGGAGCGGCTGGGCCCGTGAGCCATGGCCGCTGAGCCTGCGCGTCCGGAGCCTGTGCTCCGCAACGGGAGAGGCCACAGCAGTGAGAGGCCCGCATACCGCAAAAAAAAAAAAAAAAAAAAAGCTTAGGAATCTTAAGCTACAGTCACCTGAAACTTTTAAAGTAGGATGCAAGCAATCCTGTCGAACATTTGAACAGAGCAAGACACTGTCTTTATTTTATTTGTCAGGTAATTAATCTGTCTTTTTCCCCAAGGAGAGAAACAACTGACATCTTCCATCAATGTGTTGTACAAAAATCTTTGAACACAGAGTGCAAGCAGAGGCTGATACAAGATGTGAAAAATAAAATGAGAGACCCTTGTGGCATTTTCTCCTAACTTATTGCAATCTCCCATTTAAAATGTGGGAATAATCAATCTTCTGAGGAAAAAGGCCCAAGGAAGGTTTCTGCTTCTGTGGAATAATGGGATTGCTAAAGATTTCAGGAGGCAAGACGAATTAGTAAGAATGACCATGAGAAATCAGAGAAAAGTCAGACCCATGGATGAAGTGATGTTTACCTCTATGAATCAATGAGAAGTAGGAGCAAATGAAAAGAAAGCTGAATACAACATTTTCTGAATAAATGTAACCTTTCAGCTGTCACAGAAAAATTAATACTCACTATGATACAACATATTTAGTTTAGAAAGTTAACTTAAATTTAAAGATTAATAATTAGATTTATTGAAGAAACGAAAACATATTTGTGGTTTAGAATAAATAATGTGTTCTGCTACAGATAAGAAGACTACATAAATAAATAGAAATAAGACTAAATAAATAAATAAATAGGAAAATAACAAATTAGATGTTATTAAAAACTGACACTCATCTAAAGAAAGAGAAGGAGAGACAGAAAGAGAGAAGAACTCATAGCAAGCATATATTAAAAACTCCTCAATAAGAAGTCTTCAGATGTTAAAAAAAAAAGAAGTCTTCAATAAGAAGATAATGTAATAGCAAATATGGGGAAAATATACCAAAAGGTATTTACAAAAAGAGAGTACAGAATGTTAAGTAAACATATCAAAAGATGCTTGGCTTCTTAGTAGTCAATTAAATGCAAAAAAAGTGATACATTTAATTATCACTTACCAACCAGAAAGTTCAAATGAAAATGACAGGTATTATCAGGTTTGACGAGAATGTATATAATCCTTGAATCTCATTCACTGCTGCTGAGGATGAAAAATCATACAAATGAGTGAAGTAAGTCAGAAAGAGAAAGACAAATACTGTATGCTAACACATATATATGGAATTTAACAAAAAAAAACTGTCATGAAGAACCTAGGGGTAAGACAGGAATAAAGACACAGACCTACTAGAGAATGGACTTGACGATATGGGGAGGGGAAAGGGTAAGCTGTGACAAAGCGAGAGAGTGGCATGGACATATATACACTACCAAACGTAAAATAGATAGCTACTGGGAAGCAGCCACATAGCACAGGGAGATCAGCTCGGTGCTTTGTGACCACCTAGAGGGGTGGGATGGGGAGGGTGGGAGGGAGGGAGATGCAAGAGGGAAGAGATATGGGAACACATGTATATGTATAACTGATTCGCTTTGTTATAAAGCAGAAACTAACACACCATTGTGAAGCAATTATACTCCAATAAAGATGTAAAAAAAAAGAAAAAGAAAAATCATACACATGTTTTGAAAATATTTAGAAATATCTAAAAAGATAAACACATGAAAGCTATGACTCGAAAATTTTACTACTACATGTATACTGAACAATAATTTATACACACACCACCAAAGCTCAAGTTCTAGAATTTTTATACCCATGCTATTCTCAATAGGCACAAACTGAAAATCACTCATATTGTAATACAAATTGGAATAAATTAATTGTTAAATATTTACACTATGGAATCCTATGCAACAGTGGCAATGCATGATCACAACAGGAAACCATATAGACATATTCACAAGCAACATAAAATAAAAAAGCCCAATCCAAAAGTGATTTTACTGTGCCATAACATTTATATAAACTACAAAATACAGGTAACATGATCTTTTTCTTAGATACAAGAACAATATTAAACCTTAAGGGGAGTCACTAGAGTGGGATCAGAGGGCCTCTGAGTATCTGGCAATTTTCTGTGTCTTTATCTAGAAGCTATGTATAGAGTGTATTCAGATTCTGAATTTTCTGAAATTTGTCATTTCCTTACAAACCATGCATGTTTTTAGTTGTTTTTTATACATAACAAAAAGTAAAAACGATATACTAGGGAAGGTAATTATATTAGCACTTTAATATCCATGCTTTTCAAGGTGGAACTGAAAGGTATTAAATACTTGACATTGTGATTACTTCTTAAAAGGTGAAAATTTGAGATTAATAAATAAGACATAACTCTTCATATATAATCCTCAAACAGGAGGGGTAGAAAGGAGTATTATTTTTTTTTAATTAATACAGAATTGTTAAGATAGAAAATAATGAAAACAGACTAGGTTTAAAAAAGAGCACACTGGACTTCCCTGGTGGCACAGTGGGTAAGAATTTGCCTGCCAATGCAGGGGACAGGGGTTCAATCCCTGGTCTGGGAAGATCCCACATGCCGCAGAGCAACTAAGCCCGTGTGCCACAACTACTGAGCCTGCACTCTAGAGCCAGCAAGCAACAACTATTGAGCCTGCATGACACAACTACTGAAGCCCATGCACCTAGAGCCCATACTCCACAACAAGAGAAACGACCACAAGGAGAAGCCCGTGCACCACAACGATGAGTAACCCCTGCTTGAAACAACTAGAGAAACCTTGTGCAGCAACAAAGACCCAATGCAATGAAAAATAAATAAAATTAAATCTTTTGACTTCTGAGATGACTCACTCACGTGGCTGTAGGTAAGAGGCCTCAGTTCCTTGCCACATGGATCTCTCCTTAGGGCTGCTTGAGTGTCCTCATGACATCGTAGCTGGCTTACCCCAGGATGAGTGATCTAGCAGAAACCAAAGCAGAAGCTGCAATGTCTTTCATAACTTTGGAAGCTGCACTTTGTCATTTCTGCAATTTCTTATTAGTTAAACAGTCAGCCCTTTTCAAGTGTGAGGAGCCACACAGGTACATGAAGACTGGGAGATAATCAGGGGATAATTAGGGCCATCTTGGAGACTGGCTTCCAAAGTGGCTGACTAGCCAAACACTGAATTTTGTTTTCTTCACTTCTGTAGAGAAAATGGTCAGTGAATCTCATTGGTGGTCTTTCAGATGTACCAAAGCTACCTCTTGCTCTCACCCCCAGCCGTGTGGCTGACAGGGTCTTGGTACTCCAGCCGGGTGTCAGGCCTGTGCCTCTGAGTTGGGAGAGCCGAGTTCAGGTCATTGGTCTACCAGAGACCTCTGGCACCTTGTAATATCAAATAGTGAAAGCCTCCCAGAGACATCCGTCTCAACGCTAAGACCCAGCTCCACTCAGAGACGAGCAAGATCCAGTGCTGGATATCCCATGCCAAACAACTAGCAAGACAGGAATGCAGGCCCACCCATTAGCAGAGAGGCTGCCTAAAATCATAATAATGCCACAGACACTCCAAAACACACCACCAGATGCAGACCTGTCAACCAGAAAGACAAGATCCAGACACACCCACCAGAACACAGGCACCAGTCCCCTCCACCAGAAAGCCTACACAACCCACTAAACCAACCTCAGCCACTGGGGGCAGACACCAAAAACAACGGGAACTACGAATCTGCGGCCTGCGAAAAGGAGACCCCAAACACAGTCCCCAAAGCCAAATATGACAGAGGAACACACAGCAGGTGAAGGAGCAAGGTAAGATCCCACCAGAACAAACAAACGTAGAGGAAATAGGCAGTCTACCGGAAAAAGAATTCAGAGTAATGATATTAAAGATGATCCCAAATCTTGGAACTGGAATGGAGAATATACAAGAAACGTTTAACAAGGACATAGAAGAACTAAAGAGCAAACAAACAATGATGAACAACACAATAAATGGAATTTAAAATGCTCTAGAAGGAAACAATAGCAGAATAACTGAGGCAGAAGAATGGATAAATGACCTGGAAGACAAAATAGTGGAAATAACTACTGCAGAGCAGAATAAAGAAAAAAGAATGAAAAGAATTGAGGACAATCTGAGACACCTATGGGACAACATTAAACATACCAATATTCGAATATAGGGGTCCCAGAAGTAGAAGAGAAAAAGAAAGAGACTGAGAAAATATTTGAAGAGATAATAGTTGATAACTTCCCTAATATGGGAAAGGATATCATTAATCAAGTTCAGGAAGTGCAGAGAGTCCCATACAAGATACACCCAAGGAGAAACATGCCAAAACATGTATTACTTAAACTATCAAAAATTAAATACAAAGAAAAAATATTAAAATCACCAAGGGAAAAACAACAAATAACATACAAGGGAATCCCCAAAAGATTAACGGCTGATCTTTCAGCAGAAACTCTGCAAGCCAGAAGGGACTGGCAGAACATATTTAAAGTGATGAAAGGGGAAAAGCTACAACCAAGATTACTCGACCCAGCAAGGATCTCATTCAGATTTGACAGAGAAATTAAAACCTTTACAGACAAGCAAAAGCTAAGAGAATTCAGCACCACCAAACCAGCTTTACAACAAACGCTAAAGGAACTTCTCTAGGCAGGAAACACAAGAGAAGGAAAAGATGTACAATAACAAACCCAAAACAATTAAGAAAATGGTAATAAGAACATACATATCAATAATTACCTTAAATGTAAATGGATTAAATGCTCCAACCAAAAGACATAGACTGGCTGAATGGATCCAAAAACATGACCAGCATATACGCGGTCTACAAGAGACCCACTTCAGACCTAGAGACACATACAGACTGAAAGATAGGGGATGGAAAAAGATATTCCATGCAAATGGAAATCAAAAAAAAGCTAGAGTACCAATTCTCATATCAGACAAAAAAAACTTTAAAATAAAGACTATTACCGGAGACAAAGAAGGACACTACATTATGATCAAGGGATCAATCCAAGAAGAAGATATAACAATTGTAAATATTTATGCACCCAACACAGGAGCTCCTCAATACATAAGGCAAATGCTAACAGCCATAAAAGGGGAAATCGACAGTAACACAATCATAGTAGGGGACTTTAGCACCCCTCTTTCACCAATGAACAGATCATCCAAAATGAAAATAAATAAAGAAACACAAGCTTTAAATAATACATTAAACAAGATGGACTTAATTGATATTTATAGGACATTCCATCCAAAAACAACAGAATACACTTTATCTCAAGTGCTCCTGGAATATTCTCCAGGATAGATCATATCCTGGGTCACAAAAAAAGCCTTCGTAAATTTATGAAAATTGAAATCGTATCAAGTATCTTTTCTGACCACAATGCCATCAGAATAGATATCAATTACAGGAAAAGATCTGTAAAAAATACAAACACATGGACGCTAAACAATACACTACTTAATAACCAAGACGTCACTGAAGAAATCAAAGAGGAAATTTAAAAAATACCTAGAAACAAATGACAATGAAGACCCAAAACCTATGGGATGCAGAAAAAGCAGTTCTAAGAGGGAGGTTTATAGCACTACAATCCTACCTCAAGAAACAAGAAACATCTCAAATAAACAAGCTAACCTTACACCGAAAGCAATTAGAGAAAGAAAGAAAAAAAAAAACACAAAGTCAGCAGAGGAAAGAAATCATAAAGATCAGATCAGAAATAAATGAAAAAGAAGTGAATGAAACAACAGCAAAGATCAAAAAAACTAAAAGTTTGTTCTCTAAGAAGATAAACAAAATTGACAAACCATTAGCCAGACTCATCAAGAAAAAAAGGAAGGCTCAAATCAATAGAATTACAAATAAAAAAGGAAAAGTAACAACTGACACTGCAGAAATACAAAGGATCATGAGAGATTACTGCAAGCAACAATATGCCAATAAAATGGACAACCTGGAAGAAATGGACAAATTCTTAGAAAAGCACAAGCTTCCAAGACTGAACCATGAAGAAATAGAAACTATAAACAAACCAATCCAAAGCACTGAAATTGAGACTGTGATTAAAAATCTTCCAACAAACAAAAGCCCAGGACCAGAAGGCTTAACAGGCAAATTCTATCAAACATTTAGAGAAGAGTTAACACCTATCCTTCTCAAACTCTTCCAAAATATAGCAGAGGGAGGAACTCTCCCAAACTTATTCTATGAGACCACCGTCTCCCTGATACCAAAACCAGACAAAGATGTCACAAAGAAAGAAAACTACAGGCCAATATCACTGATGAACACAGATGCAAAAATCCACAGCAAAAGACTAGCAAACAGAATCCAACAGCACATTAAAAGGATCATACACCAAGATAAAATGGGATTTATCACAGGGATGCAAGGATTCTTCAATATATGCAAATCAGTGTGATACACCATATTAAAAAACTGAAGGATAAAACGATATGGTCATCTCAAGAGATGCATAAAATGCTTTAGACAATATTAAACACCCATTTATGATTAAAAAAATCCTCCAGAGAGTAGGCATAGAGGGAACCTTCCTCAACATAATAAAGGCCATATATGACAAACCCACAGCCAACATTGTTCTCAATGGTGAAAAAGTGAAACCATTTCCACCAAGATCAGGAACAAGACAAGGTTGCCCACTCTCACCACTATGATTCAACACACTTTTGGAATTTTTAGCTACAGCAACCAGAGAAGAAAAAGAAATAAAGGGAATCCAAATCGGAAAAGAAGAAGTTAAGCTCTCACTGTTTGCAGATGACATGATACTATACATAGAGAATCTTAAAGATGCTACCAGTAACCTATTAGAGTTAATCAATGAATCTGGTAAGGTTGCAGCACACAAAATAAATGTACAGTTATCACTTTCATCCCTATACACTAAAGATGAAAAATCTGAAAGAGAAATTAAGGAAACACTCCCATTTACCACTGCAACAAAAAGAATAAAATACCTAGGAATAACCCTGCCTAAGGAGACAAAAGTAGTTTACTCAACAAACTATAAGACACTGATTAAAGAAATCAAAGATGACACAAACAGAGAGATATACCATGTGCTTGGATTGGAAGAATCAACATTGTGGAAATGACTATACTACCCAAAGCAATCTACAGATTCAATGCAATCCCTATCAAACTACCAATGGCATTTTTCAGAGAACTGCACCAAAAAATTTCACAATTTGTATGGAAACACAAAAGACCCCGAACAGCCAAAGCAATCTTGAGAAAAAAAACAGAGCTGGAGGAAGCAGGCTCCCTGACTTCAGACAATACTACAAAGCTACAGTACTCAAGACAGTATGGTACTGGCACAAAAACAGAAATATAGAGCAATGGAACATGAGGGAAAGCCCAGAGATAAACCCATACACATATGGTCACATTATTTATGATAAAGGAGGCAAGAATATACAATGGAGAAATCACAGCCTCTTCAATAAATGGTGCTGGTAAAACTGGGCAGCTACAGGTAAAAGAATGAAATTAGAAAATTCCCTAACACCATACACAAAAATAAACTCAAAATTGATTAAAGACCTAAATGTAAGGCCAGACACTATAAAACTCTTAGAGGAAAACATAGGCAGAACACTCTATGACATCAATCACAGCAAGATCCTTTTTTTTTTTTTTTTTTTTTGCAGTACGCGGGCCTCTCACTGTTTTGGCCTCTCCCATTGCAGTGCACAGGCTCTGGACGCGCAGGCTCAGCAGCCATGGCTCACAGGCCTAGCTGCTCCGTGGCATGTGGGATCTTCCCAGACCGGGGCACGAACCTGTGTCCCCTGCATCGGCAGGCGGACTCTCAACCACTGCGCCACCAGGGAAGCCTGCAAGATCCTTTTTGACCCACCTCCTAGAGAAATGGAAATAAAAACAAAAATAAACAAATAAGACCTAATGAGACTTAAA